AGATGAACCCTATTTTTATTTGCATCTTCCCCTTGAAACTGAATCCTCTTGAGATTTGCATTTATCAATCTATAATACCAACCAACTGTTCCAGTTCCCCTTTCTGTACCATTAACTGCATTTTGTTTTGCTTTTAAAAAAGTTAAAGCTGTACAACATCTTCTATGTCTTGTTTCCTTTTCCACGATGTTGGCAAAAAAAATCTTGCCTCAAACCAAGTGATAGAAAGAATGTCTCACAGTCTGCAGGAAGGAACACAGCTCTCAAATGTTAAAAGTGTGTTCATACTGTGTGCCAGCGTCACCCACAGTATGCTGATTAGATTCATAAAAATGACAAGTTCTCAGACACTGTAGGAAGGTTGTGGTGCAAATCGGAGGAGATAATGGGCTGATTTTATGCTCGCAATTACCATCAACACTAGAACGAGCCTACAAGTGCAATTTCACTGAAAGTGCGAATTCTGTACTTTATGTTAATCTGTCTCGCCTCACATGTAGTGTAACACATGCCGTCTGCACTGTATGCAAGCCAGTAACACATCAAGATGAAGAGCAATTGCAAGAGCGAGGTTTGAGAGGTTTATCAATGTCATCTCAACCCTGGAATGTGCTCTGGAAAAGACTCCAGAGCATCGGAACAGATATAAACCTGTATTTAAATTACCCACTTTTTCTGTTTTAAAAATATATAGTATTTTTTTTAATAAGTGTAGAATAAAATGTGGCAATTCCTAATGAGATTTCTTCATAATGACTCAGAGCCTTCAGTACACACGCCAGGTTAACCTGAAATATGTCACGTCGACACTATCTGATGCTGGTATGGAGTTTCTTTAGGGTTGACCTGACATACTTCAGACAACTGGAAGGATTCTTCATGATGACTTGCATGCTTATCAACGAATTACGTACGAAACCATCATGAATTAGACCGCAACACCTGGTTGGGTGGGGGGGGAAGTTGGCGGGGGGAGAGAACAAATAGCCGGCGGAGCTACAATGAGCTGCAATGTACAAGTGGCATCTAATGCTTTTCAACCCGACTCGAATTGTGTATTTGCAAACAGACATAAGAACTGTTTGGCAAACATCTTGTAAAATCTTAAAAATGATTCCCCTTTAAAGCATTTGCCCCACTGGGGACAGCAGCCATTTCCTGCTTGCTGCTTTTAGACTCGAATTTTAAGAGGCAGTTGCTGGTGGAGCAGTGAGACCATGGCACCATTACCAATATTTTTAAATGCACCAGTGGGATGTGGCCCTTGTGAATACATAAAACAAAAAGACTCAAAGACCACATGCTGGGTTGGAGTAAATAATCCCAGCTCTCCAAAGTAGACCGTACCCGAGCCCTTGGGATCGTGGTCTGGGGAGAGGGGTGATTCTTGCCAGAAACGTTTGTCCTAAAGTAACCACCTTTTATGCCCAATCCCACAAATTCATTTACGTTTTATCAATTGACGCACGTACAGTTTATCACAATCAACCAATGGAAGAAACCCAACTCCAATGCACAGTAATAAACTGAGGATGTAGGTAGGGATCACAGTTTGACTATTCACTAATTGTTGCTCGCGCTTGTAAAATAAAAGTAGCTTTTATATTTTTTCGCATGGCTTTTACGTTAAACCATACGACGCTGGCACTCGTTTACGGGATGATTGTTTTCACTAAGTTCTGAATATTTCTGACACCTCAGATGTAATTGAAACAGCAGTAGTTGAATCACTATTCTCCAGGTAACACAAATCGAAAATGGTGGCAGCAGAAACAGCAGTGTAACAATTGTACAGCAATTAACCAAGTGATTAATAATTGATGGCATAAGCAATCTACTGAGCTGAATGTGAAAATAATTTCAAGTTACAAAAGCAGCATTAAACTCATCACCAGGCAGGCAATCCATCGAAACACAATAAATGTCCTTGCAGAAATTGTAACAGCTCTTGATGCTACATAAATAGAAAGTTCAAAGCTCTAGATTTGCAGCATTTAACAGTGTGAACAGGCCATCTGCAAGGCAGGCTCCACTTTCCATTAAGAGACTGTACTTTTGAGAGTTAACTGCATTCCAAAGTATCAGATCAAATGAGTTTTCAACATAATTTGACATTCTGGAGGGGATCATATATTCTAAACAAAGGTGAACTGTTTCAGGTCAGACCTTACATTCATGCATAGCAGCTGTACCAGATAAAATCTTATTAAAGTTGCCTACCAGTTCTGTAAATCTTTCCTCTTAGCACTGATTTGCCAAAAAAAGATTTATATTAAATCTGAAATGCAAACCATGTTGCATAAATGCTCTCACAGCCGAATGATGATTATCGAACTGCCCCCAGAAAAATGACTGAAATTGCCAAAAGAATACTGACTGCAACATTCTCCATTCAAATATTATTTGGTTTTAAAAAAATAAGGTAACCATTAACTAATCATGTGTGTTTCTGCGCCAAAGCTTACTGATTTACAAAACACTGGCCTATGGTTTAAAGTTTAAAACTTTAAACTTTCTGTACGCGGAAAATTTAAAGATTTGACTCAACCTTGTAATGATTTCTTACTTCCAGAACCTTTTTGCACAGCATTTAATTATCGGAAATCCACAGACACTCGGATGCATGTACTTGTTTTAAAAAAAGTTAACTTTAAAACATTTTGCATTTTACTTTTGTTCAAGGATCCATTCGGATAATAGTCAGATTCTCTGAATTTAAAACCAAAAATGCAAATAAAAAGCTGCAAAATAAACACATCCACTGTATTAAAGTCCTGGCTCGCGCTCCTCTCTCCTCTGGAAGATTATCAGGGATTTGTGCTACATCGCCACAAGATTACAAGAAACTCCAATGCGTTCTTGCCCAGCTTGTCAGGAGCTCAGGTTTATCACTTCACCCTTCTCCCAAACAAATCACCATAGATAAACGTATGCTCCCTACACCATCACATTGGATTGGGCACATGACACTGCTGAGGCAGCAGCAATTTGACAAGAGACTGCCAGGTGTCAGACAGGCTCAATTGTCTACACTCTCGCCTCCAGGTCAGAAGGTGTTGGGTTTAAAGTCACACATTGGACTTCAGTACACCCTGGAACGCCTGTTCAAATGGTCGGCCGCAGCAGTCTAATAACTCCATTCCCAAAGAATAGGGCAACAATCCACAAGCTGGTGCAGATGGCATATTCTCCTGCAGGAACCGTCACTACACTTGACGGTAAATCACCTGTGAATCACTTTGGTACATTGCGACATGATGAGGCACTGTAAACATTTCAGTTTTCTTTCTGACAACCATAACCACCAGGGCATCATGGATGAGGGGTACACACTACACTTCCACTAAAGCCAACAAGTAATCACATCGGATGGACACAGTTCCTGAAATAGCAGGGATGCAACACCGCAGAGTGGACCACAAGGAATGAACAAATACCATCACTACGGATCCGACACACACTGGTAGGCCATGAGTGATCAAACCCCAGGCTAACACTCATCAGATTCATTCTGTCACTGGGCAACCAAGGGTCAGGCATACCTCTACCAATTCTGCTGTAGAGCCTCAGCCCGAAACATTAACCTTCCAGATCTGGACTGACCTGAAGCAGATATCCAGCATTTGTTATTTGTCTTTCTATCTATTATCAACCAATCATTCACCCGTCAGGACTACATGCATCTCCCTCAACCTAATCTCCCCCACCCCACCTAACCATATACACGCACACACAAACACCAGTTCTTCCCTGCTCTCCCACCCACCCTCCTACCAGCCCCTGCTTGACTATCAATATCGCATCCAAGATTACCAGCGAAAACGCAACCACTGAACCACTCCAACACAACAAAAAAGGAAGTAAGATACTAATCTGCCGTATAAACAGTACACAGAAATAAAACTGAACTAAAAGAATAAACATCATGATGGGCTCCTCAGTCAGAGCAGAAACTTTTGGCACAATCTGCACAATGGCATTGTGTATTGTCAGAATGACTAAATTAAACTCCGGGAGGGGGGGGGAGAGGGAGAAGAAACAGAATGTGTGTGGGGAGGGAATGCTATTTTTAATAGAACTAAAGCACATTCAAATCAGTTTAAATTAGCTCTCAATCAATCTAATCAACATTGCAAGCGCATCCCTACCTACCATTTTCCAGCCCTCAGCTAAAGGAAAATTAAAGGGCTGAATGAATTTCTGCGGTTAACCCTTTGAGGACTGCAGTAGAATTTGAACCCTTCCCTCCTCTCCCCCCCCCCACACCCCCCAAAAAAAACACACACATACATTTTAATTATTTGCACATCTGGAAATGATTTCACGCATTTTTAATTAATATTTAAATTACAAATTTCAAATATATTTTCGATAGTACGTTTATAAAAACATATACATGATCTCATTACTGCACAAACGCAATGAAACTCACGTCCATAAAAAATAGGATTGTTTTCTTGAAAGAGAAAATTGCGGCGCGGGCTTAAAACTTTCACCCATGTCCACATTTATTCTTCTTTAAGAATTGATGGTGAATTATGAACCCCTGCAGATTGCAATTTGCACTTTAAATGTGCAGCTTTAAGCCATTTCTGATTTACCCTTTTTAAACATATCTGTCATACGGTGACCTTAAAAACCTACCAGTCACCCTGTTAATTGGAAACATTCATTCACTTTACACTGGAATATCCAGCTTCAAACTTAAAGTCAGTCCATCAGTGGAAAGGAGCACTAGGTGTCTCTCTGGTGCCTTACGTACACAAAAGATTTTGCAGAAATAAAATACAAGACAAAGGAAACCTTCACTAAAACACTGTTGTGAATTTAGACTCGCACAAGCCAGTGCAGCTGTATCGAAAAGCTGCAGTCCTCAGTGTTTCACAATAATAGCAACTGAGGCAGGAACCAGTAGGAGGTTAGCCTGTGAGACAAGGCTTGAACTACAGCATGGAGAAGCTTATTCATAACAAAGGCAAAAAAAAAAGAGAGCGACCTACCACGACTGTTCCAATTCCCAGTCTCTGAAAAAGTCAAACTCGAAGAGGTCCATCGTAGTTTGCTGATCAGGTCGGTGGAACTAGTGTCCCTGACAGGAGTGGACTTGACTGCATATACAGCAATTGTTCTGTAACTGTACAGTAACTGTACGTGCCGGATGGCTCTCGCAGTGAGAGAATGCTGGCTCAGGCTGCCTGGCTGTGTGAGGCAGTCTCAACATCACACAGAGGGGGGGTGGAGCTTCAGGCAGCAAGAAGCCATGACATGGAGCCAGCACATTATCAGCTAAGGATTTGGCATATTCCAGCCACAGTGGCAGCGAAACTCCACCTCTGTCAAAAACAGCTGTTTGAAGTCAATGAGGGACGAGGGCAGGCGAAGGGGGTTTGGGTGCAAGGCAGGGGGCATTTGTCTTTCCTCCCGCATTTTATCAGTCTAGTTTTCTGCACTCAATTGCTTCGTCTGCTTTTATCTCCAGGTCCAGAATGTGGCTGCGACTTACAGCACATTAGATGTCTCCATGCAGAATGTGATCTTAAGCCCTGTACTGTACGCAGCACTCTAAACCACATGTGCGGAGAACAGTGGCAAGAGAGATAAAGGGAGATGTAGGATTGGCGCGCTCCCTCCTGTGCAAGATATTTAATTAATTTGTCCGAGACGTTATTACAAAAAAAATTCTTAGTGCACGAATGCCGTGCAACTTATAGGGGTATCTGGACATATTGAATCTAATAGCTTATCAGTAATAGTTTGTGTCCACATGTGGCCCACTGAATAATTGGATGTCACAATCAGGGTACGTCTATAAAATACACAGTCGTTACACTTTACAGTAAATCCTGTGAAGTGCTTTGCGAGATCCTCCAGACGTGAAAGGCTCTACATCAAATGCACAGATTATTATTTTTATTCAGGTCAGTGCAAATGCGGAGGCGGTGTGGAAATCAGGAAAATCAGAGGACAAATGTGTAGCAACAGCATCATCATGGAAATCTCCTGGACAGATAGGATTAGGCCATTTAAACAATAATAAATTACCATCTACCCAACAATATTTTAGCAACCCAACAACCATTGCGCAGATTTAATAACTGTATAACAAAATTTGTTTGGGCAGCACAAACAGCAATACATAATAATAATAATAATCCTTGCATTTGATATAGCGCTTTTCACGTCAGGAGGACGTCCCAAAGCGCTTCACAGAACACACTGTAAAGTGAATTGACTGTATATTTGTGGGCGAACGCGGCAGCCAATTGCGCACAGCAATGTCCCACAAACAGTCGTAGATTGAAAATGACCAATTTTATTATTGTTTTTTTGGAGGGATTATTATTAGGCGTGTGGAGTACATGCCACTGCACCACATGTCACTGTTTCTTGAAGAGGTGTGTACATCTGAAACTGAAGGGACAAACAAGGGTATCCACAAGCAAATCAAAATCACCTCAATCTAGATAGAATACATGGTGCAGGGCAGTCACTACACTTGACAGCAAATACTGCCAAGCTCTTTTGAGATGTTTTGACACTCCAGAGGCTTTAAAATGCAAGGATCATTATTCTACATACTCGTTACCTCAGGTGCATAGAAGATGCATTTATTTTACGTGCAAGTAAGTCGCCAAGACTTAGTGAACAAAACACTGCTGAGAGCACTCTCACCATCATTCAGTAACAACCAGATCCCTGGGCATCTCCGCTGTTAAGGCTGTCTCAAACACGACAACATGGTGATTGTTCCTAAATCTCTGTGGTCTTTGTGTTTTTTTTCAGCAAAAAAAAAACTGGAACCTCCCAAGCAATGTCACAAACAGAATACGATTCAACCGAGCTGCTGAATATTGTTTTAAAATTGTGCTCACAAAAGGGATGTGTATACCTTATTTATGAGATCCGTTGTTATATGGATTCAGCCACAGAATACATTTCATTGTCAACAACTTATTAGGTGGCAACCCCGACTTCAAATTTGCAATTTCTGGCAGGCTTTAACTTTGTTGCACAGTTGTCTGTAAATTTTAATAACAGGCATTACTTCAACTGACTAATTTGGTAGCTCGCTGAAATAACCAAAAATAATGCAGCAAGTGGTTGTAATCTGGCCTGAAACTATAGCAAAACTGCATTCACATAAGCAAAGGGAAATCCAGTACTAACCTCACAGAAGCAGAGAGCAAATTGGATTGGATTGAAAAGCAAAACCAATGAGTGCAGATAGAAAATGATTTTGAATCTCCAATGTTCATTCCTTTAACAGAACCATTCACCCATCAGGTATTTACTTATTTGACATAACTGACACTACACAGTAATATAGCTGCCTCGAAGTTAACAGTAAGTGAAGTTCAAGCGATCTACATAGTTTAATATTTATGGTATTGTGCATTTACTGTGTACAATACTTTGACAGTATTGATATACTGTTAATATTTAATGCTGTTTTATTCTTTGTCTCTTTGCCATTGTGCTAGGATTAGAGAATTATATTTCTTCCAGCTTCCTCTTAGCTTGGCTGTTGTTCCAAATTGCTGAAAGTGTGCGCGCGTGTGTGTTGGGGGGGGGGGGGGGGTGGAAGAGGGATGAACAGTGCAAAATATCAGTCATTCTAAGTCATTCTAAGATGCTAGACATACAGTTGAAGTTGCTTCGAGGCAAGCCGTCAACAATAGAAAATACCAGGAATGACTGTGGAAAAAGGGGATCAATTTAAAGTGGCATATCGGGGCAATGGATTGAAATCTCATTGGTGGAGCCCCCAGATATCCCAACTGCTGTGACTCCAAAAGCAGAAGGTTTCCATCCCTCAGAGCATGAGTGACATTAATATATATTTTTTGAACATTGAACTGCCCTGGTTCAGATGATAAAATGTTAACACTTTCCTCCCTGGAGGTCAAACTCACATTCCCTGTTCTACTTGTACGGAAGGAGCTTTGTCATTTCCATCTTCAGCCAGCAGGTGATGTTTTCAGCAGGGCAAGCTTTGCTGCTGTTCAGATAGTGCAGAGGTCACTCTTAACCAAGTCTCGCAAGCTTTCTGTGAGATTAATCATGCGTGTAAATCATTAAAATTGAGTTCTCACCGCAAGAGTGTTGCGAATGACTTGCATACAGTTCCGCTGGCTTCTTTATCCGTCTCTCTCTCTCTCTCGCTCTGTGTTGTGTGCAATTTGGTTTTAATCATTTTTGTGACTTATCATTTTAAAAACAAAATCGCTGAACAATTGCGCTTTACCGTTTGCCTAAAGCTTGGTACAGTCACTACACTTTGCGTGATGCACTTTAAGCCTTCCTCCTGACTCGAGCAGCAGAGGATTATTGTAATTATTGAGAATGAGACATTGAAACGAGGTCCCATCTGCCTGTTCAAGTGGCCATTAAAAGTCCCAGAGCACCATTCAAAATCAGAAGGGAATTTCTCATGTTGTTCTGGCCAGCAATCCCCCTGATAAAATTGGTCAATCATTTTGTGGCTATGTGTGGCATATTGCTGTAGACAGATACTAAAGTGCAGTACAATCTTCTGGCGAGGATGGTGTTAGTGCTGCTTTACTGCACGTCTCCACCGGGGGAACCCACGTTACATTTCCAAAAGGATCTCAGAGCTCTTTATTGTCAGAACTGTTGGGAGAAATTTCACCTGGTTCCAGATTTACTCTATTAACGGTAGCATTTTAAAATGCCCAGAATATGGCTAAGTGTTGAACTCGGTTCGTAACTTTTATGTTCTTCAAAGAACTCACAATAAGTTAGTTTCAAAATTACCCAGCGCTACTTAACCCCTGCCATTTTGCGACATGTCATGCAATTGCAACACCTTGGACCTTGGGTTCAGAGGATCTGAAATTTTAAATAATCTGTATTTTCATGGCCTCACCTCAGAATGTGGATTCAAACCCAGCTCCTAAGCAATTGGCTTCAAAACCTGATTATCTGCTGACCCAAATTGCTGGGAGTATAATTTGACAACATCCAATACATGCCCTTGTTCAGAGAAAAGATACTGACTAAAACACTTGGGAGACCGAATCCAATTTGGATCAACACAACCAAACTCAATCTACTCCTTTGGGTGAATGGTATTAATAAAAGGCAAACTTTACATATGCCAGCTTTGTTTTCTCTTCCTATTTGAAAGCATTTGCACCAGAGCTGTCAGGCTAGCGACTCTTTGCAGCCCCTTCTAGCCCTGAATCATCGATTATTGACCCATTAATAAAATGGACTTGCAAAAAGGAAATGTGTCCGCATGAACTCATGGAGAATTCAATGCTACCTGCTGTCATCCTTAACTGCTGCTCTAGCTTACTCCTCCCCACTGTTTGTGCACAATCTTTGCTGCATCATTAAGCGCACATCTGGGCCTTTCATATGTTATGATGTAACCTTGTACACTGCATGAATAATTGACTATGAAGAATCAGCATCAATTACCAGTGCTATTCTCAATCATTCAAGTAACTGGCTGTTTGGCAAAGGCCCTATTGTGAACAGGGCTATGAAAGTACGTTTGCATTGTACTTATATAGTTCTCAGTGATTTGTGGACTACTATTGCACTTTATGTTTTGCTACACTTTAAATCAATCCACTTTAGAGTATTTCCCGTGAAGCACTTTGAGACGTGAAAGGTGCTAAATCAAAAACAAGGATTATTATTACAACAATATTTCTGTAAATATCTGAAAAACTTTAAGTTGCTTTAATTCCGTAGAGCACCCAATAAATACAGGAGAACACAAGCCCTCCATTAACATGGCAATTTAAAAAAATTACAAGTGAGTGAATTATGTAGATCTTTTCATGGTGAAATAGATATCAGTATTCCACTGGTTGGAGGTACACTAGAGGACTGAAAAGTGGCTTGTGTAAGTGAGGGAGACTTGAATTAAAGAATTATAAAACAAGTTAGTCTAACACGGCCATCGGGGAAAATGCTTTAAGCATTTTACAGAAGTCCATGAATATTCATCAAAGGAACAGGCAGATTACATCGCGCAGGCAGCATGGTTTCAAAAACAACATCTCATGGACACATTGAAATTCTCTGACTAGGCGAGTAAATTACTGGATAATCTTAAACCTTATTTGATATATAATGCCTTTCACATCAGGAGGATATGTCAAAGCGCTTCACTAGAATTTTACTGTAAAGTGG